CGGCCGCCTTCCCCGGCCCTTGGGAGCCGGCGGCCCTACAAACCACCTCCAAAACAACACCCCCCCTCCAGCCTTGTCAAGTCCAGCTCCCACCAGAAGTGATGAGGCTGATGGGGGGGGGAAATAACCATCGCATTATTATTAGTAGTATTAGTGTTATCATTATTATGACCAGAGTGAGGCCTGGTGGGATGTGAGCGGGGATGGGGAGCAGTCGCTGAAGAGGAAACACGGGAGAAAAAACCTCCCTCTCCTCCCAGCGCATTATATAAGGAGAAGGCTGAGCTATTTTTATTTCTGTTTACCCTACGCAGGGCAATGGGGACTCTTGCAGGCAGCAAGTTTTCGGGGGGGAGCCACTCTTTGGCCCCCCCCGGGCGAGGCTGGACTCCGGATATAATCAGTAAAAAAAAAATGAAAAAGAGAAGCGCCTTCTGATGAACGCCTGGGTTAGAAATGCAGTGTAAAAAAACCACTGTCCCTTCCGCCTGCCCTTTACGAGCAAATAAGAAATGCGGGAGGCAGATGACCTTAGTTCTCCAAAGCCTTTTTATATTTGGTGGCATGAAGACATCTGTATTTCGTCATGCAGGTTCTCCTTAAAACGTAAGGATTCCTGCTATCTATTTTATGCAGCAGGGGCAGGCTGCATGTCAGACATGGTCTGGCATAGCCGGTTACTTTGATTATATATTAGGTAAGTCGAGGGCTTTTCATTTCAGTTTCCAACCCAGACCTTTAGCTACTGCAAAATTCAGATAGCAGGTTAATGTAGTTATGTTGCTTTGGACAGTGAAGTCAGTTCAGTTTTATAACCTGGAAAAAGGATTATGAATGAGGGAGAGAAAATTGAGGGTGAGAGAAAAAAAATATGCTGTAGCTTTTTTTTTTTTTGGTGAGATGCAGCAAGGTGTCTTCTTAGAACAGCTTACAATTTTGTCTCATTGTCCCCAAACATACATGCATATATAAAAAAAAAAAAATAAAATAAAAAAATGGTCCAATATTTTACAGGCAGCAATTCTCAGAAAAGGCTGGCTTTATTATCGTCGTTTATGTAAGGCAAAGGTTGATAGGTTTTCTTCAACTCTTGTCTGTCTATCTCTCTGTCATCATGTAGATACATGTCAGTGGTGTAGGTTTTCAGTGCACTTACTCTAGCCCTGATCAGTCATGTAATTAGATCAGGCTGCCATGGTAACAGACAGTATTCATCGTCCATTCAGGTGTGTTTGTCTTGTGACTAGGCTACCTCAAGCGGTGTATGTACTGTATTTATGTTGTGCAGCCTGCATAGCTGACTGCTCTGTCTTCTTGCAGAATGTTTCAGCATATTGTAATCATTTCCTGACCACTGAGTATGTGAAAGATGCTCCTCGAGTGCTACAGCATCAGGCAGTTTTTACATTTGTGCACAGTATGCAAATATATTGACCTAGTCAGGGAAATTACTCTAGTGTTTATTGTTTGTGAATCAACAAATGTTTGCTACTCCTTCTAAACTTTTTTCCAGGCTTATCTAAATGTTTAGTCCCCAGTCTAATCATTTTAGTGGGCTAGGTGTTTAACCATGTGAAGGCTGAAATTGTGCATGAAAGATATCACAGGTCTGAGGGCTAACAGCTTAGGCCCCAAACCGCATGCCTAACTTTACGTGCTCTGACTAGCAGAACGAAAGTGATGGATAACTGGCATCAGCATTATCACTTACGTCAAAGAATGTGTTGTTATAAGCATGTTTGTAATTCTTAGCAAGATTGGGGCCTTCATGTGTTTTACTTGGTCATTGAATTTCCAATTTCACTTTCTAAAACGTTAGGAGGAATAGCTCTTTTATCAGAGACCTTCTCATTACAGGTCGATTCATTTTTTTTTATATCACTCTCTTGTCTGTTTTCATACTCTTCTTAGTTTTGTTTTATCATAACATATGAATGAAGGCCTTTGGCTACTAAATTTATAATGCTGCTTTAATTGTGAAAGTGCACTTTAAGTGCCTTCAAATTGCATACTGCCATTTCATAACATACTCATGGAGAAATATATTTGTGTGTATTTATGTTTACACGTATGTTCAGTCTCTGATTTGGGAACTGCTCTCTATTAAGCCAGTTTTCAGAGAGAAAAAACAAGCAAAACCCCCCATTTTTAATCAGTAGCCTATATTTGGCTTGCTGTTTAATTGGTGTCAACTGGAGTGACTCCAGTGGGCTGATTTATGAGCTTCTTTACATGGGACTGTATCCAGAGTAACTCCATTTATTGGAGCTATTTGACACTTACACCACAATTATGGAGCCCAGAGTCTGGTCCATTGTGTGTGTAAATCTTCATACATTTCTTAGGTAAAATTCTTATGGACTTGAATAGGAGTTTTCTGTGAGTAAGGACTTCAGATCTGTGCCCAAGAAGCTATGTTTACCACTGCCATAAGTGGTTAATATCTCTGTTCAAGATAATAGTTTTCAAGCATTTATGCTAATGGATGAACTTGGCCCTGTAGCTTTAATAGTTTGATCCAGAAAGCTGTCAGTCAGCCAGGGCTCCCAATTGTTCAGGACTCAGCACCTTCCTGGACCAAGTTCTAAATGATATCCTGAACCTAAAATAGCTTTTTTAATAGTTCTGGTGTTGAAGCGAGGGGCTGGAGAAGGTAATGAGTACTGTCTGTCTCTGGCTCAAAGCTGGCAGTGCCTGTCAGTTTACAGTCCCAGGTGCAGTGTAACTGAGCCCACAGGTTTCTGTCTGTCTGCCAAGCAGAGCCCTTGGTTCTCATCGGGGGGTTCATAAACAGTTTCTCACACTTACGTGCAAACTTTTCAGTGCCCCGACTGACTTGGATCTGTTGTTTATAAAGCAAGGGTATTTGTCATCTCCTAAGCTGTGCAGCCACTTTCAGCCTGGGTATGGAGGAGACTGCTTGAAACTGTAAGTGCAGATGAGGAACCACGGGCCTGGAGAAACAGAAACAACCACACAAAGCAGCTCTGACAGAATGATCCTTTGTACTGCATCATGCTCTTTATACATATTGTGTCTTATGACAAGTTGTTTATAATGTGGCACAGCATGGAAAGTGTAAATATGGTTTAAAAATGCTGTATATGCATAAGTGAGACTTCTGAAAAGCAGTCTCCCCCTCCCCTCCTGAATTCATTATAAAAGCTTGACAAAAATGGCCTTATTTTACAGGATATTTTATAACAGGCCTGAAGTTTCCTTTCCTCTAAGAAAAAGAAAATCTTTATGTAATCTACTCAGTGGCCTGGTTTCATCCTAGTTTAAAAAAATGGGCATTTAAATACAGTCATTTTAAAGCAGCTCTTGATATGAACACTGAAATATAAAAAATAGTTGTGTTAGTAATAGAACTAGTGAAACAAAATCAGCCCTAATCCTGCTCGTATTGAAGTTCAGTGGCTTAAATTCTCCTTCACTTCAAAAGGGGCTTGTCTCAGTGTTGTCATTCTTCATATAGTACACTGCTTTTGTTGTGGTTTACTAATAGGAAAATGTAATCAAGAAGTGTAGTTTGGTTTCAAAAACGTTTTAACCTTGCATATGGGGTCTGAAGTGTTTACTGCACACGTTTGGTATGAGAGAGAGCACATTCTGAGACATATTTTCAGAAAAGGCTAACCAGGGATGGCTCTCAGCTGACTGTACTCTCAGCTGGTTTTGAGAGATTAGCTGTTGTGGAAGACTGTTCAGGTACAGTACGTACAACTTAAATCAGTTCAGAGAACAAATTGAAATGGGGCCTGCTGCTTAAGCAAGTCCAAATATAATAAGCATGACAAACAGAAGTGTGGCAGGCTTAGCACAGGTAAGTTTTTTCAGACAAAAGAAATGTGCTGCATGCTAGGGAAGGTTGTACATAAGAAATTCAATAGCTGAAGCTTTTAAAACTAAAATGAAGTGAACAAGTCAATATTTTCATGTTATGTTTTGCATAATTTTAAGCAAGGCATATTTTATTTATCTTTGGACATGGAGAACCTGCATGTTATATTTTGGGGTCTGAGGTAATGTTCACAACGCTAAAAATATATATTTTTCTTTAAAAAATAGGAAAAGTTTAAGGTGATTTGACTCAGATGATATTACTGTATAAAATGTTTAAGTTTTAGCATCTCTTTGAACAGATGTCTGGACAATAACTGGACAAATCAATGCAGTTTCTTCTTGTGATCAGTGTATATAGATTCTTAGGATACTACTTCACTGTATGTTCTCCCATAACTATAATGTGCAGAGGCGTTGTGTTTTATAACATACGTGGTTGTAGGATGGCACCTGCCCTAGGTGCCAACAATGAGGGGGTGGCAGGACACCCCACCCCAAGCTGGGAGCCTTTGCTGGGCAGGGCAGTGCTGCACCAAATAGTGTGTGTGGCGGGAAGAGAAGAGTGGAGTGAGCAGAGTGGTGTCCTCCCCTCCTCCCCAAACCCCCAGCCCCATGTGCTCAATGAGTATCTTTACGCCACTGATAACATATGCACATCTGCATATATGGATGCGTTATTGGGCTCGGTATGGAAATTCACTTAAGAATGTTCTTAAATCCTATTAAATGCCCTGCTGCATAAGGTTAGACATAATTACCTGCTTAAAGTTAAGCATGGCATTTGTGCAAGTGCATAGAGAGGTGACCGTAGATGTCTTTGTAAACTCAAACACAAAAATGCACAGGAGAAATGGTTTGACTAAATTCTATTATTGTCTCAAGAGTGACAAAACATTTGGTGAGGTTCCAAGTGAAAAAAACAAAACATATTTTGTTTAATATGCAGTGCCAGCAGAAATCTGAATGTGGCTCTTCATAATTTTTAATGAATAAATAAAATTGCAGCAATAGTGCACATCTTTGTTTGCATTATCTAGGAGTTTGCAGTATAATGTCTTGAACTCCAGAATTCCAGGGAAATGCTGCCAAATCTAATAATGAGGGCTAGGCATCTAGTTCGTTTTTTATCTGGATAATGTTCTTAAAATGTTCTTTTTTTTAAGGTAATGTCCCACCTCAAATAAAATGTCACGAAAGGGTTATGATTCCTAAAATTATTACTATGATCTTTTAGCCTGAATAAAGGAGCTGGGATGAGGAAATGAATTTTCAGTTGGTTTGTACTTGCATATTACAAAAAGCAGTTGCTTAATAGAAGTCTTCTAACAATTTTAAGGCCAGTATATGTAAAATTGGTTAGTAGTTAACTGTTTCTCCCTCCTTTATTTTGTTTTCTATGTCTTCCACTTTTGGATCACCAGTCACATTGCAAACCAACTCAGATGGGCAAGCAATACAAGCTGTGAATTTCTTTTTGACCCCCACTGGACAGTGACCCATCATTATTTTCATTTTCACTGAAGAGAAATGCATTGTAAATAAGGTGAGAACATAACGCTTTATAAACCCCTGTCAGAAAAATTCCATTACTTCCCATGTCTCCTGTGTCTTGTGTAGGATGCTGTGTTTTAGGTGAGTGGGTTTTAGGTTTACTTTCGGTCAAAATGTATTCACTTGCTAAAGGACTATGTAATGAATGAAAAAATTGCATCCTTTGATCTTTGCTGTAATCTGCCATCCATAAAAAAAATTGTATATGTGTGTGAATGTGTGGTTCCTGTTTCCTGCAGCTTTTTTGCATTTTTCAACCTTCTCTCGGCCAGAAAACCCTGTCTGGCCTACAGATTCTCCCTTAAAACCATACGTATCCAGCCACTGGTGACATATCTAAATAGGTATTTGTGTTTTTGTTACTCTGGCTTAAACAGTGTTGTCATCTCTTGTGAATGTATTGAATTACTCAAAATATATGTTGTTTTCCTTAAATCCCCAGCTCCTGGAGTGATGTGATTAAAACGAGAAACTCAACTGTTGTCTCCCTCCCCCTTTTTTTTTATTCCTCTCCTTTTTTTAAAGTACATTTCTACCCTTTATGGTTGTAGAGAAATGCCTGAAAACATGAAAGCTCAACAGTCAGACTGAAAATAAAAATAAATCTTTTTTTAAAATTCTCTTTGTTTCTAGGCCAACATCATGATGCTTTGGGGTCTGACTCATGATTTTTGAATGCTGGGATTGCCAGTAGTGTTACTGTTAAAAAATACGAACAAAGGTCACAGGAAGAAAATATGCTCTTCCTTTAAGTAATATCACATTAAACTGAGCAATTAGACCTGAAAAGGTTTTTATTATTTAAATCCAGAAAAAAAACTGTTACAGGTTTTTAATTATGAAAAGCTGATCAGAAAGTCTCTGATGTGAAATAACTTTTTATGTATACAGTATGTCACAGTGAAGTTTACAACACATAATTTACATTTTATTGTGGCTACAGGATGGGGGTTGTACTTTAAAGGGAAGTAGTCTAAGCAAGTAGTTGGATGTAAAAACATGCCTCTTACCATTTACAGTAATCAGCTAGCATGGAGGGGCTTACTGGTAACTACTACATCTCTTTGGAGCATTATTCTTTTTGAGAGTGAAATGCCAAACAAAGCACTGTTGCACTAATATATTATCACCCTCCAGTTTTAGAAGGAAAGGGCACTTTTACACATGCTTCAACACATTTTGAGTAGAATGCATTGGAGCAGATTTGATTAATTGAGTTTGCTGCAGCATCTTGTGTATTTGGCGTCCCCGTGTTTCAAAATGGTGGGGGAGACACTAACTAAAGCTATTGAACAAACTTCAGTTAAAGCGCCCTTGCTGCCATTTTGAAACTCAGGATGCTGATTATACGAGATGCTGCGGGCATTTTAATCAGGCTGGCTCCTGAGAGCTGCTCTAATTAAAATGCGTTCCTCCGCCCCACACACACAGACACCCCAGAGCATGTGTATAGGTGCCCAAAATGACTTGATAGTGGATGTCAATTTGGGAAATCAGGTGGAGTATTCTTTTTACCTTATCATTAACATGGCAACTGAGCAATTTATTTTTGCAGAATTAGGACAGATTTTATAAAATTATTTTTATTTACAGAAAAGGTTACTATAGAAAAAGCTTCTATCTGGTAGCTGGAAGAAATAAGAAATTAAACCATATTAATCAAATCTAAGTGTCTTCTGAATGCCCAGATTGTAGTACCCACAATGTATTGTTAAGTCACCTTGAATATTTTAGTAACTAACATTTCTTGTGATTGCACGGAAAACAATACTATAAACAGTAAGTAAACATTAGGCATAAACAATAACGTCAGGTCCAGTGAAATTCACTCTTACCCACAGTCATAACAAGAGTGCAGCTTTGCTTTGTCTGTGTCTGAATAGCTTGCGTCATGCTGTGTCCCTTAACAGGTATTAGACCAAGTTTAATTTCAGTATTGTTCTTTTTGTAGTTAAAATGCAAAGGTCCTGCTGCTTTAATCACATTACAACTGTGTACCATCTTTAGCAGGTATTCCTAATTTGTTCCAGAGTAAGATCACATATTAAATAAGGTAAAAGTTATCTCAGTGGACACTGGCTGGGTACACGGATTCTCTCTTGTCACTGGATTAACACAATGGCACCCAGAGTTGTAACTTATGAAAAAGTGGGAACCACAGCCAGCAGCTACAGACAGGCTACGCCAGTGATACTCAGTGGGTGCCTATACACGTGTTCTGATGTGTTTTGATTGGAATGCATAACAGACTCAATTAATCAGATTAATCAACTAATCAGAACACTCCATTGTGCTGCAGCGTCTCATGTAGTCAGCATCTCATGTTTCAAAATGGTGGCAGAGGCACTTTAACTAAAGCTCATTAAACAAACTTTCCTTAAAGCGCTCCGACTGCCATTTTGAAATGTGGTATGCTGAATACACGTGATGCAACAGAGTTTTAATTAGAGCCGCTTCTAATTAAAATGCTTATATGTACCCCCTTTCCCCCACCCCAGTCACCTGTATAGACGCCCAATCTTTTGGCCTGAGTGACACAGATCAGGCCCCGTGCTGCCTCCACTGGACCCAGTGTACTGGGATTAGACCCTGTGTCCATGTTGCTTCTACCGAGGCCACATGCTGGGATCAGGGTCTGGGGCACCATGTCACCCCTGGCCATCCCCATGAGCAGGGACCAGGCCTTACCTAACGTAGCATTCAGGGCTATGGCTTGTGGGATTCCCCGTGGACCCATGGGGAGCCCTGAAAAGTTGTGAGACATGTTGCTGGTGGCTGAAACATGTCTTCATCCCGCAAATCAAGATGGAGCTTTGCATCCTACAAACCTTTCCTGCTCCACTATTGTTTTAGGGATGGTAGCTGTAGTCTTCCATTTTATGGAGACTAGCTGGCTCTTTATACAAGAGACAACATTTCGGGCACCTTTGATTTAATATACCATATGTCAAATCCAATCCTCAAGTCTTTACTTAAGGCCTAGTTGTACAACCATGTATGTATGTAACCCTGTTGACAGGGGTTATCCCATTGACTTCAGGCAGTAAAGACACTCTTGTGTGTCAGCATTTGTTGAATGAAACCTTTAGTGTTAACTATTCTAATTTAGGCTAATGTCAGTATGAGTTTTGTAAGTGCTTTATCTCAATATGGACATGGGGGTTAGTAAAATTTAAATAAAATACTGCTGTTAATTTAATCTTGACTTATGTAAATTTTAGGCCAGAACAAAACAAAAATATAGTGAGAGTTACTGTTTTTTTTGTTCAGGGCTGGCATTGCTTCATTTCATGTAAGCAAGTGACTCAGTGCTTTCTTTTAAAGTTTTAAGAGGATTTTAAATGAGAGACTGGACATTTTGAGAAGCAAAGATTTCCTTTTCATCTTTTTCCACTGTTCAAGTCATTTGATACCTATTAATCATATTATGACATCTAGCTGACTCTATAGCAACTGTCTATTTGTAGCAATCCTTACTGAAATTTCATTCACTAGGGTATTTGTTGCCTAACAAGTCAACCTTTTACATAGGATATGGTTTTAAACGTGGTGCTTTTCTAACATACAGTTAACACTCTTTTCTGGCTCATTTAGAGGAAAGTGGTAGTGTAGCCATTTAACATACTTTTAAATAAAAAGACGATGATGTAATTGGTCTTTGTGGAGAAGATATTAGTGCCCCCTGCTGGCTGTTTTATAAAGCAGTGTTGATGTTTCTTAGAATGGCTGGGTTTTGCCTTTTCATTTTTATATGTGAAGGCATGCAGTGGCGGTAGGGCTAAAAGGAGGTGGTGGAGATTTTTTGACTGAGCTAGGAGCAGCAGGAGAATGAAGACAGATTTCAACTAGGTATAATTGGATAGTAATTAGAAATCACATTTAATTTTTGTAATTGCTTGTTTTGTATTTAAGTGTGTGAATAAATTTAGTGTAAATGAAAATGAAAACTTCATGGTGCAGACTGGTATCACAGAAGCAGGTCTCCTCCACATTGCTCTGCTTGTCATCTCATAGCTGACCTTCTTTACTTCAGCTTTAGCTAGGCCCGTTGAGAGATTGCTGGTCTTGTGGCAGATTATATGATGGTTTTGTGACATGTATAAATTGGTGGTGTTTTGTGCTGGGCGTAAGATGAGACCGCTAAACCTGTGTTCACTTGCGACCTAATCTGGGATTCAAGCCATGGTTTAGGTTGCCATTTCTAAATTAGGGTATGTAGTGCCATGCAGAGATACCTGAGCTAGGTCTGAACAAGCTAGCACAAGTACAGGAAACAGTATAGTTGCATTTATATGGTGTTTTGCCCAGGCTAGTATGCCCTGCTGACAGCGGCACAAATTAGATGGGTGGAACACACTGCTAATGTTCCAGTATTGTTTTTTATGTTGGCCACAGTAAAAGGTGTGGGATTTTGCCTGAGATGTGCTGATGTTCCTGTCGGTCCTTACCCCAGATGTTCTTGGATAGAGAGTCTTGCTCTACTGCTCAGGATTATACCAACTGCCAAATCTAGAGTCTGGAAGGAGTTCTTTCTATGAGATTGGCACAGACTGGATCAGGAGGGGCAAAGGAGGGAGGCTGCCTTCCTCTGTGGCATGGGGCATGGTCTTTTTTCTAGGATCTTCTGCTAACCCAGGGGTGGGTAATTATTTTGGGCAGAGGGCTGCTCACTGAGTTTTGGCAAGCCATTGAGGGCTGCATTACAGGCAGCCAGGGGCAGATAAATATTAATTTTCTAAATGTTTTAGGAATTTAAATTAAGAATTTTAGGAATCCGGCCTGCAGGATAGAAATTTTTTTCTATCCTGCAGGCTGGATAGAATAGCCTGGTGGGCTGCATGCAGCCCGCGGGCCGCATCTTGCCCACTCCTGTGCTAACCTATTGCTTCCCTGTCATAGCAGTGGACGAGCACTGAGGTGCCTTAATTTCCCCTGCTTTTACATATAGTATACTGTACAATGTTCTGGGTGTCATGGATAGTGCACCTTGTA